TGCGACACACTCACAAAGGTATTTTTCAAAAGACCTAGTTTTTCTCTTATTATTTTATTGAATCAAATGGTTTGACTCATACATATTATACATGCTATTGTCAGTTATTAGTAATAATTATAATATAATTACTTGTGTAATAACTTAGTACACTAGTCATTACTCGAATCGCACGATAAGTATTTTATCTACCTAATTCTACGTATATAGTTTATTATTTATTACATTTATCGTTTATTAGCTCACTTTCACTTATACGTGGCGTCATTGATTATAAATATTGTAGATTACAAATATAACTGTTTATGTAGACGTATTTTAGTAGCGAACTGTAATGATCGTGGCTCGTGTAGGGTATCTAATTATGACTAATCTTATTATTTACGCAACTTGGTCACTTGTTTAAACCAGGTCTTACTAACATTTAGCACTTAAGTTTTCCTTGTCCTGGTGACGTCAATATGTTTAACAACAACAAGCAAAATACGTAAATTGTAAATTGACTATGTAGTTGTTCAATTCGAGCTAACTTGTGTGTATAACCATTTACTATTAATGTCTTAACTATTGAACCAAATCTAACTTGTGCAGTTTTTGTTAAGTAAAGAACTTTTTAATTATTTAAGTGTTCAGTTATTTAATGTATAATTTACTTTTCTACAGTACAAAATAGCTTATGTTTTGGACATTTAGTTCACTACAGAACTCATTATCCACGTTATTAATTATATTTTAGAGGCATAAATCACAACAATTGTGTAATAGAGAGTATTAAAGTGAACTAACTGTTGTAAATTTGTACTTATGTTTAAGTTATATCAATTATATCTATATGAGAGTGAAAGTATATGTGTTCTTACCACTCGATTACGTTCCATTACAAAACGATTCTATAAAAACTGTGGCATTTTAGTTCATTAAATAAGTTTAAACTGATTTGTATAACGAGGTAGCTATTTTTTTTTATCTCGTTATCTACTTAACTTTTAAATTATCATATATATAATATTGAATTTCAAATTTGCTTAGCCGATACAGAAAATGTTATTTAAAAGTTTTTTATTTTTTTTTTATTTATTAAAAATATATTTACAATCTGTAATATTAGTTACAATAAGTAAATTTGAAAAAAAATTATACAATGACAGGACAACGTGAAAGAAGGAGGTGTCCGGTAATACTACTTCAACTAGATTTAATTACATAATTATAATTGTTTTGAATTCCTTAAAAAAATTTTTGATTTTTTTTTTTTTTAGTTATTGAGAAGGTTGCGTGACCAATTTCGTTTTAATCGACGAGGAAAATTCTTTGGAAGAGTAAGAGAAGAAATATTGGATATCAGTGGATTCGGGTGATTTATAGTGTAAGAGTGGAATTTTTTATTATGAGTGGATGCAATAACAGGAATAGTAGGAATACTGAGGTCGTGATTTAAAAGTTTAAAATTAATGTCTGCGGTCGAAGAAATAGAAAATCAAAGTACAAAATTATAACAAAGGAAAATGCAATAATGGCGTTTTAGTAGAAAAATCAGTTCAAATAATAAGAATGAATATGAAAAATATCGAAATTCAATTATAAACGGAAAATGACATACGGGTGGTACATGTATATATATAATATATATACTTTGTTATCTTATATTCATTACATTAAACTACAATAAAAGAATATGATCTGTCTACATAGGAAGGTGGCGATGACCTGCAGCACCAATGGGAAATCGAAGAAACTAATTTCATTATACTTCCGACGCAGTAAAGAAATTACATTTCACATAATATAACTCACACGAGTAGCGAGCAGAGCCCGAGACGAGACCAGATTTAATATCGAGCCTAACTGCCTGATGGCGAACTTTTCCTTTTCTCCGTTTTTTATTTTATTATTACATCAGCAGCTGCCGGCATTTTCTTTTCCGTTTCAAGATCTCCGTTATGTATATATATTTTTTTTTTGTTCTGGTTGCATTTTCCCGGTCTGTGACATTTTTCTCTTTACTCCCCTCTATTGTATGTAATTCGCAGACTCTCTTTAACCATTCACATTCAAAATCGAACTTTGCCGTTCGGCTTCTTCGAACTGTAACAGCCCCTTCCTTATCAACTACAGTATTTCATCTCTTTCTCCCTCTCCCTCGTCCTAATATATAATATACATATATATTATTTCAAATATAACTAGTATCATTTGCAACCCGACGGTTTTTTTTAAATTTAATTTTAGCAATCACATTCACCCTCTCGCACATGTAAGTCCTGGGGTCTTTGTATATTTATAAATTATAATTTATATTCCAGCTGTACTCGCTAGTTTGAGAAAAATCAATGGATGCTTTGAGGCAATTTTGTAAAGTGCTTGTAATTTGTACCTATTATATGTGTATACGACACGCACGTATATGTATGATAACAATATTTAAGTATTTTTACTCAATGTATTAAGTAGAATACTATTATTATTAACGTATGGTATATTAATAGAATGCTGATAAAACGATAAAACGTGTATACTATCAATTGAGCTACAGAAACATTTTTTAATTTTCTATCAAATATCAATCAATCAAAACCTTACCAATATTTATATGATGGGCAAAAAAATTAATTCTAAGAAATAGTTGCTTTGTAAGTATCAATAACGTAGAATTAATAGCTGTGAAAATATAATATTTTTTATAATAATAATTGTACTAAGATTTCATGCTTGGAAGATGATTTTTAACGATGAAAATTATAAATAATAGAAGTTCATTTAATCAACGCTATAGTTTAAAACTACATCAATTGAAAATGTTTTAAAATGTCGTTTTATAAATCCATAAAAACTTTAAGCTGATAAATTTGTTTATTCAATAATTGTTTTGAGTTGTTACAGTTTATTATTGGAGCTACGATTTTTATTATGCTGAAAGGCGATACGATGTGTTTGAATGTAATGATTCATACAAATTTCAGTTGTTTACTGTTGTTTTCTATAGTACAAATTTATTTATAAATTATTTTGTTTACAATATTTTATGTTTGTTTTTATTGAATTCAGTATTTTAAATTCGTTACTTATTTATATATTACATGAAAATGCCACTTTCCGAGTTTATTTTCTAGGTTCTGTTAAGAGACGAAATACTTTGTTTTCATGATTCTTGCAGCACATAGCTCGAAAAAATGATATACTAGTAGTCGGACGCGAATAAAATATTTATAGAAGTTTTGCTACAAAACTGAAAACACAATATATTGCGTTCCCTCGACGGATTGTTATACGTTTTTTTCTTGGCAACGACGTTGCATTTGAGCGAGAATTCGCAGATGAAAGATAAGCTAATCAGTGCGGTACCATGGCTTACGAATAACTGCGAGATAAAGAAAATAGGGGAAGGATGCATGTTTTTCACTGTCCAGGAGGTAAAACGAGAAAAAAATTATTAAAACGAGAAAAATAAATAAAGGGCTTTTCTCGACGGGCTGTAGCGAGCATACAAAAAAAAAAAATCCGGCTTAACAAGACTCTCTGGGAAATCTGAGGGAAAAATAAAAAATACTGGATAACGAAGCGTAAATATAATATAACTGTAGATATATATTTGATGTATATATGCATGGAAGCGAATGCAATTATTATAATTCCACATTTATTTTAGCAAATATTTTCTGTGAACATAACGCGTACAATCAGTTCAACGGAGAGAAACAAATATTTTAGAATTCATTTTATTTTTAGGTTTGAACTTTAAAATGTCTATAAAAGACTCTAGTAAATAGCTGAAGAGCTAATGCAATATGATTACAATTAAATTGACAAAAACTTGTACAAATAAGTACCTAGTCGTCAATATATTTTGATTTTGACAAAATTCATGCTACACAGGCTAAAAGTTAATTTTTTGTGTTTCACAGAGATTCAGACACCACCAACCTAAACTATTTATCTAGAATAAGTCTTTACTACCTACATTTATAGCCAATTATATATTTATATGACAGTATAAATTATAAGTTGTAATCTTATCTCTTTACTAAAATCATATTAAATAGGTGGTTTGCTAATTCAATTTTAAAATGGTTTTGAAATAAAAATGTTGACATTTTCTTTCTTATTCTTTTCAAATCATTAAAATAAATATAAATTTTTGGTTGTTTAAAATTTCAGTGTGCCTTTTTAAAGAAAACACAGTAGGTAAATCAATTAAGTATTAAAACAATTAAAATCGTATATTATTTTAAAATATATTATATTGAAATTGGTCTAACCTAATTATGATATAAACTGCACAACAAATGTTCATGCATCTATACACAATACATTAGAATATCTAATATTTCGGTCGTTTTCGAATTTTCAACATGGTTTTCACCTCCAAATTTTCTCCAAATTACATAAAAAGAATACTGGTGAAATAACTACACTATATGACGAGTGCAAGTCGTGTCAGTGAATGTATACATATTATAAATAAATATAGACGTTCACAGGTACGACTTGCACTCATCATACAGTCTAGTTATTACCAGTTGTTATCAGTATTTTTTTTATGTCATTTTTTAAGATAACTGAGTGGTAAAACAATAAAAAATTCGAAATGACCAAAAAAGAGTCACTTTACTACCACTATACATATTAACTAGAAAATAGATTTAAATAAAACAAATAAATATTAAGTATCTTCCAAAACTAATTTAAGTATTTAGAAAGTTATAGTTATTATGTATGTCGTACAAATATTGAATACATTACCAGTTTTTGAAAAAGTAATGATTTCTCTAAAAATGTGTGTAGTAACTAGTAATATCTAATTATATAAATCGGCAAAATAGACTTTTAAGAAGTTAAAAACACATTAGACGTCATTATAGATTCCATCAATTTTCTCATTGTCTAAAATTGGACAAGTTAAGAAGTGTAGATAAAATAATTCATAATCTAAGTATTGTTACCAAATCTAAAAAGCATGTACTTAATCTACGATACTAATTACTAATAATAAATGTAATTACCTATGCGACATATTTATGCGTTTGTTATTTGTTCGTTTGTTGAGATGCTCTACGGTTGTCTTTGTGTAATAATAAAATATATGCGATTCGGAAACGAAATTTTCCATAGTCCCGTAAACTCTTTATAATATCATCACTGATGATAGTAGTTATTAAGTGTCCCATCGAGGCGCGGCACGGCAACTGCAGACGGTATGCGTATTTCTATACTCGCATAATATATTATATAGAACAGTCACAACCAGTTCTCGTGCACTAACGGCGTATACCCTTTGCCGGTGTACTACAAAAAAAAAAAAAAAATCGTCGAAATTAAATCGACCGGGTGGGTATTGTTTTGGGACAGGAAAACTAATCTGCATAATATTTATGTGCCGACACCGTGGTCGTCGTCGTCATAGAAAGGACACACGCGTCTTGTCGGAGGGAATCCGGTTGTGGTGGTCGGCAGGGGTCGTCATCGTCTCATCGGCGGAAAGGGTTAATTCATTGAAATAAACCGGTGCGAGAGGGAAGTAGACGGAAAAAAACACATCCTCCGACGGATAGAGAAGAAAAAAAACAACAAACACGCCGCTGGACCGGTGAGAACTCTCATTAATCGTATGCAAAGCAAAAAAAAAAGAATAATAAATAATTATTGTGCCCGCGGGCTAACCGGTGCATATACATTATGTACATGCATGTGTATAATAACATAATGTATAGGTTTAGAAAAAATAATAACGAGCGCGAGGGATATTGTTTCTCGTACCTACGCGATATTCTTTTATTTTTTTCATTTTATTTTACATGGCATATATTAACATAAAATTATTTTGCCTCGCAGGGGTAAGTACATGTACAAACACATACACGGGTATGTTCTACTGGTGAAATTCAACGTTTGGGACTTGTAGAGCAACGTGCTTCACAAAATTATCATAATATAAACACACGACAGTTACAGAGACGTCTTATGATTATTATTCTGTCGTTGTCGTATGCACATTTACAGCTGGATAATCTCTATAATATTCTCAACCGTGTAACTTGTAAGTATACCTAACAGCGTATTTAAGTACAAGAAACCATTCACACCATTATATTGTAAAACCGTAGGGTAAACTTGGATAAGACGAAGACACGATATTGTGGTAAGTGTAATCGGCGAACCAAAAAAAAATATACTAGGTTTAATATACTCAATATAGAACATTTTTAATGAAAGTATTTTTTTGTAAATTAAATACCTTTTTTAGCCATTCTTGCCCTTAGTCCTCATCTCTTTTAAAATTTCCCTAATTCCTTCTACTGAGAAGAATTACTGGTTATATGAAATACTATTTTTATTTGGACATTTGAACTTTTTTTAGACATCGTCACACAATTAAAATACGACAATAATAAATAATTTGTCCATAGATCTTCCAAACATGCCTAAATCATTTCAGCTTTTTTTTAAAATGTAATATATACGAAAAAATATTCAGACAATAGCATAATATGCATTATATTATAATATATTAAATACTTACTTTTTTTTTTAAATACTTACTAAACTATGTCTACTCAGAGGGACTATAAAATACTAATTTTACAAATTGTTTGATTTTGTGCACATTCAAATTGTAATAAAAAAGCCTACTTATTTATCAAACGTGATCAAGTCCTAATTTTAGATAAGTTGTTAAAAGCTGTATAGCTGCGTATCTCCAATGAGTACTTGTGTAATACTATAATAATCTACCTAAACACGGCGATGACTTGTAGGAATTTGTATTTATCAGTTATAAATAAAAATGTGTATAAATTAGCATAAATATTAGATCCGATTACCCAGTAATGCCTGTTGAAACCACCAATCATGTCTTTAATACGCAAACAACATACATTTCCATTTCCAGTACATTTTTTTAAAGCCAACACGTGTTAATGTAAAGTATAATTTAGTACTTCTTTCTTGGTAATTATCCGTAAATGTATTAAAAATCAATAAGTTAACAAATAAAGTATATAAGTAAATTGAACGAAGGTTTTTGCTACAAAAGTGGTATACTGTTAATTTATTTAAATACAAATAAACTGGACTCGCCCATAGTAAAACACAATTTTAAAAGATATATAAAAAAAAAAATTAAGTTCTTAGGTAGTTAAAGAATAAAAAAAAATCGGCATGCAGTCTTACGTAAACACTACAAGACGTAAATGTTTTTGCCTTAAGAGCCCTACCTAAAAATACGCTTTAAATGTGAGCTTTATTATTTATTAATTATTAAAAGGAATCTCAACGTCATTGTATTAGTTCGCTATTGTATTTGAATATTTTTCATGTTAAGTGTTTGTTGACTATATACATTCCAGTAGTTTTTTATCACAAATACCTACTAACTTGATATAAGTTCAGAAATTCTATAGACAATTAATGTTGTCTATAAATTATGAATATCATAGTTTACCTATAAAAGGCGACGGCATTTTAATACTTTTAGCGGTACTACTGGTCGTATAACGTCAAATACTATTCTTTTATTTTTTTTCTACATTCTATATTAGTTCTCAGTCTTGTTTTTTGTGATCTTGTCGTTGGAATTACAAAATTGCTGGCATTTTTCCTTTCGCGATTGGCTTTTTATTAAATAACTGTTTTTACTTGTTTTACTATATTGTTTTTTTCGTTGGAATTTTTTAATCATTTACCAAACGTTACTGTCTTTTCCGTGCCGTAAACGACAACAACAATGATAGCAATCCTACTTCGCAGCACAACTTGGTCGGATTGGATATGAATATATATATATATATATGTGTGTGTGTGTGTGTGTGCTATACCTAAAGTCGTGGTGGAGGGATAGCTGCAGAGGTGTACGCGTCTCCGAGGGTGTCGATTTATCGGGGCGAAATGAACGAAAGGAGGTGACGTTCGGGGGGTGATGGTAGGGCAAGTGGGAAAACGCGGCCATGATGTTGTGTTTTTTTTTGCACTCAGAAAACTGTGTGCGGCTGGTTGCAGCCATGCATGATATCGCCACCGCCGCCATTTCCCCGGGAACTTTCCCCCTTTCCATTTACCGATTTTTTATTTTCCATTTGTATAATACGTATATTTTATAACGTGAAAAACAAAACACAATTTTGTTTTCCTCCACTACTCTCTCCAAAACCGAATTCAAATCATACAATTATTTCTTTCGCGAGTCTCCATAAACCATTTATAATAACCGCGCAAATTAAACGTTATTAAGAACCCTAATTGACTAAAAAATAAATTTGATATTATAACTGCGCGATATACGCACAGTTATAACATCGCCCAACGTTTATTTGGATTGTCTAGATACACATAAAAATCGATATTAAATAATAATAAGTACACATACCTAGTAGATTTAGATAAATATACGGATAAACCTATGCATTTCAAATAGTCTTTAAGTAGAACAAGTTGAAAAAGGTTCGCTTTTAAATGTCAGTTACTCATATAAGTCATAAGTATGTTATTCGACGTTTCTGGAACTTCAAATTTCTTATTGACCTTTCTGCACAAAACCCTTAAAATATCTTTATTATTTAAAGCCAAACCTCAAAAACATCCAACCGTGAGTTTACGGTATGTAAATTAATATTATAGATTTTATTTTGCTCGTGGTTATATTATAATACTCCTACATATTCATTATCCGTTTTTCTACATTAATTCAGTGTCATTTAAAATTTAAACTTACTGAAGTTATTTGAATAATCAGTATCTTTGGACGAACAAGTTCAAGAATCAAGGACAAGTTTGTTTATGCAAACTTAGCAATGAATACAAATACTTAACAAAAAAACAGACATTTAAAAAGAAATTAAGAGGACACCATCGGTCTCACCCTTCATGCTTATTAGAAGGTATAGAAACACTTCATAAGGTATACATTTAGTAGTACACAGACACTAAAGAGGAGTTTTAATTAATAGTTTGTTTGTTGTAATTTTTTATTTGCAATGTTTTATTACAAAATTTCTTTATTAATATTTGTATTATTTATCAATGGATAATGAGGCAAGCTAGGCATGAATGAAGCGGCCGAGTGTACATTGGTGGTATGAAGATTTTAATTGCTTTTGATTGTAAAGGGAAATGGCTAATTTTCTAAAACCAGTAGACAAATTTATCAGTGAGATTTAACAAAAACATTACCATCCACATTTAAAATAATACCTAATATAGATCACAAATATAGTGTAATATATTATTCTATTTATTATTTATTCTATGCACACATATTTATCCGATATCCGACGTTCAACAAACGAATCACTTCGAATCATGGACCTAACCTAACCTAACCGAAATCAATTAGAATCATGGACTATAAGTACATCATATCGAAGAAGAATAGAAGTATTCGAAAAATAGATTCGTTATATAGACCAGACTAAAACATAAACGCAAATATCAATATCTCAAAGTATACAGAACACAAATGATATAGAGGATCTTGAGAAACATATCTAATCAGAATTTAGTATATTTCCATGAAAGTCTTGACGTTCGAAATCGAACAAAGAAAAAGAAAAGTAATTATTCATCGGTTATAATCTATATTTTTTTTACTGAAGTAGACAAAGATCAACATCACACAACAATAAATTATTGTTTATGGCCAATACTATACAACGTACATAATATGAATTTTTTTTTAATCCAATGATTCATTACCTTTTACTGAAGTAACTAGAACTTATTATTAAACGTAAAATTACGAATGTGTATGTTGCCCACTTAATTGTATCTAACATCTATCCTATAATTCCCATAATTTATGTTTCATAATTAATATACAAGGTAATATTGTTAATTTTTGCAAAAATAGTACATTTTAACCAAATTTGTAATAGATCAAACAAAAACAAATAAAATAATAGTTAACAGGCAGGTCATAGACTACCAGAGTGGTCTAATAAACAAAAGACTATACTGCAGTCTTACCGAATACTGAGATCCAAGTCACAAATAGGAATAATTATAATAAAGAATTTACTATTAATGTTACTAGAACTGTTTTTGATAAAATATATTTACATTTTTGTCACAGTGGTTTTTAATTTTTTATTAAAGTCAAACAAATGTAACTAAATTATAAAATAAAAATTGTATATTAACCTTTTTGGCTTTCGTACTTTGTTACTTCAACATAATATCTAGTCGTACACAACCACAAAAAATGATAAAAAATCATTTTTTGGAGGAAACATTTTTTTTCTATTAATATGTAGTCGCACTTTGATTTTATGGCCGACCTGTTCTAGAAACTTAATATAACTATAATAATATACTCTATGTACGTTGTCTTTAATATTAGATCACATTTTGTTGAAAACGAAAATAAAACGGCGCACACATTCAAATATTGTTCTAGCCTTTATATTACAGCGGGTTACTCAAAGTCCACGAGTTTGAATTGCCTGTCGTTGTAATGGAAAATTGTACCGGTTATTTTTTATTCCTGCTAACTAATCAACACGTCAATTATTTTTCATTCATTTATTTTTTTATTAGTTATTATTCGTATACTCCAACGGCCAACCGCTATAGTTTAAAAGAGCCACTAATATGCAAATTTTAGTGCTCATCTCATTACATCTTATTATATTATTATACACATATGATGTGATCGGCGGCGGTATATACGAATTCGGTCCGTGAGAATCGCACACCAGACACGGCTAATAACGTTGATAATAACAACAATGATAATTATTACGGAGGAAATCAAGAAGAGCGGACGGTCTCTCAAAAAGGAATTAGCATTTCCGGTATTGGCAGGGGAGAGAAAAAACACTGAAGACTGAAAGGCGGGAGCGAAGAACAACTGCGCGGACGAAACCGAGACATTTATTATCATTAACATAATTATTATTGTTCGCAGTATGCATAAACGGGGTTGTTAATGGGAGACTCGGCCGACCGTTTTGCATATATGCCGTGTAGAACGACCAACTGTTGATACGTCCGACCCCGGGAAGCCTAAACAAAGGATGTAAGTATACGGCCTAAAAAGAGGACGATTACGAAGACTGTAACAAAATAAAACCGAATTACTTGCTCCTTATGCAAATTAAGAAAAAAAAAACCGTTTTTTTTTTTTTTTGTTTATTCATTTTGTCCCGCGCACACTAGGAATACTCAACATTATTATTATTATTTTTTTGTTTAATTCGCAAACGCATGGTGTTAATTCCCTGTAGGGTTTCACACGTCATATTATCCGAACTATACGGCACACATAGGTAATATAATGCACCTGGATAAGCCGCTGCGGGCTAAGACAAACCCCGTGGCGATTGTAAAAGAATAGGACGTGCCGGGGCGCGAACGCTTATGACAGGGCAAGGGTGTAAGATGGGTCAATTGTTTCCATAATATTATCATACCTGGAATTAACACCGTCGTTCTAATTTTTTATACTACCGTTTGATCTAACCGAGTATTTGAATAATATATTTAATTAGCGTTTTACCCGTACCTAAGTATGGTAATGTCGAATCACTCTAAATCTTATATTATTAATTATTATGTGCGTTTATTATCCCTCATAAAATATTATTTTCACACGCCTCGAATGAATTAATCGTTCTCATTTGTTAGGTTGTATATTATTATAATATTTTATATTATACATCGATAACGTATTATAAACTATAATGTGGCTAACATTTTATTCCTCATTTTTTGATTTTAATTTTAAAACAAATTAAATAGTTATTGTAATTTCAAAACGTTCCGAAATCTTTAATCACGTGTAATTGATTACCGAAATAGATGATTTCAAAGTTAATAATAATTTATTAATTTTTATTGTTAATAAATTGCTTAAAAATTGTTGTAAAATTAAATTATCCAAAATCATGTTTTTTTTACATTTTATAATTTTTTTACTATAGGTACAATTATTGCAATACATAATACGTATATAAAATATATATTGTCATATTATTGTGATGGTATAATAAAAGAGAAATGTATTTTTAAAGATTCCTCAATTTTGAATCTTTAATAATAATTATACATTTTAGGTTTACCGTTTTGCTTTAAATGAGGATTTTGCAAACAGTTGCATTTTTTAACTTTCTAACTCAAAATATAATATATTTTAAGAGAACTCTACCCACCCGTAATTTGTAGTGCAAAACAGGGTTTACACTTTACATGATTGAATACTTTTGTGGCTGTGATAGTAATAGATAATAGAATCGCAACATTTTCATAAGAAATGAAGGTCAATATTATCTGTATTATTTATAAGAGTAGAAATTATTAATTGATTTTTTTTGCGAATATTGTTCGAATTGCTGTGAAAATTTGGTGGTTTCACAACTGCAATTCCAATACATTTTGTTTTCGATTCCCGCAAATCTATTTTGATGAAAAACAATTGTAATTTTGTCAATAGAAATAACTGCAATAGTGCAATAGTCTGGCAAAAAAAAAAAAAGAACATCCAATAAAAATTATCATTATTGTATTAATAAGTATTCACTGTAATTTAAACTCTTACATTTCTTATATATAGTTATATAAGAAATGTCTTGGAAGATACACGTTTCAGGAAAACTGAGCGCAGTTATAAAGGGTATTTTTGTTAATTAACCATTAACATATAATTTAAGAGATATTTGTTTGAATCATGCTCGTGTAAATAATTAGATAAACTATTTGACTTAAAATTTGTTTTTGGGTAAAATAATAAATAATCCCTAAATCACTTAATTTCATACAAAAGTGCATTTCGCAAAACATTAATGTTTGTACAAAAATAATCAAATATAATAGCCTTATAAGAGTTAGAAACAATTAATATTAAATAGATTTATCTTTGCTACGTCGATAAATTGTGTGTAGATTTAAATTTGTTATCTTAACATTTACATACAATTGATTGAAAAATTGTCTACATTTTACTATTGTTACTTACTTTTAATAATTTAAGAATAGGAAATGTGCGTCCCTTCATAATATATATAAATTAAATATAACAGCGCTATCTAGTGGGTAAAGGCAATGTATTTTTACAATTTCATTGATAGAATGCAACATCAAGAATTATTATTTTGTCTTATCTGATAATATTATAGTATCTTGTTAACCATATCATTATTCATATTTCATATTATTAGTTATTCTACATTTAAAGAATCAAATCTTAATTATTTTTCCTTTAAGTTTAAATACTCATTTGTTTTTCTATTAAATAAAATTATTTTATCATTACACATAACAATTTAACTTCAAAACACATAGCCATAATGATTAATGACATACTATTAAGTATTATCAGTTGTAATTAATGTTGACATTATGTTGTTACTATTGAAACTCTAATGTAACAATTATGAATAAAGCTATTGAAAAAACAAAATCCTATGTTTAATTTAATAGCTGTAAACATAATTAATATGCACTTCGTTTTCGCTTATTTTTTAGTTATTGTCACATCTATCTATTAACATGGATAATTTTAGTTGACATGTTAATGGCTTCAAAGCTAATGACGTTTATTTTTCCATTGCTTTTTAAATAAATAATAATAATATCTAGATTGTAATATGGAATAAATGTTATGTTTTTTTAGATTATGAAACTGAGATTGATGAAACTTCACCACCTGACTACACAGACTTTCAGAATTTGTTAAGTATGATACTAATGTAATATCAAAACAAACATAACATAGGTAACAGTTTTGAGTATATTATAAAATGTAACGTTTTTATTGTATTAGATTCATACAAAGTTTGTGAACCAACTCTTAAGCCGGACGGCTCCAAGACGTTTGATTGTATAAAGAAGTGTGGCCGTTCATACAAATATAAACGCAATTTGTGGCGACACTTGACCTCCGAGTGCGGCGTAGGACCTCAGTATCAATGCAACATTTGTACTCAGTGGTTTGTACACAGAAGCAGCTTGAAAAAACATTTATATTATTTTCATAGTATTTTATTGGACAATAAAAATAAAAAATAATAGATTTTCTCAAAACACTTTTCATTTGTATTATATAGTTACTTAAGGACATAACCAAGGAAATAGTCTACAGGTTTTTAACCAATACTATAATTATACAAATATGTGGTAGGCTGAAACATTAGTAAATTAATTATCTGTACTAAGATGTATGTTACTATACTGAGTGTACTTTAACACTACGCATCACCAACTGACAGTATTATATTAAGCAGATATATTAATGGTTTTAATATTTTTAGGTATATACTACTAGTTAATTTAAATACGATGATAGGTACTAACATGTGTGGCACCTATTATTGCTTTCTCAACATTGTTATAGGACTTATAGTAACCTTCATTATATAATTATTTTTTTCAAATTTATATATACTTAACACTCGTTAAATAATACTGTAATACAATTAAAAATATATGATATAGTATTAGTCAAATTCAACAATATAAAAAATCGAATAGTCATGTACAGTCCCTGATTTTTGAGTTTAAAGTAAACAGAACTAGAAAAATAAAGAAGAGTACAAACCAAAACTATAAATTAACTAATTTTAAAATAAAATAAAATGTTGGTTTGGTTTGGTTTGATATCAAAGCCTAATAATGAAATAAAGTATAACTGATTTATCTGTGTTGCTGCAATGTGGATAATGTGTCAAAATTGTTTCATTGTACTTGTACACAAATATGAGCATTTTTTTTTAATTAAAATTAAAAACCGTAATATGTACTGTTTTAAATAGTATTTTATTTAAATATTTCAAATACCTGTTTTATCTTTGAAGCGGAGCTGAAAAGATTTTTTTTTTCTATCTTTGTGCCTGATTCACTATATCTCTTAAACCCCTGAGCGGTTTTTTTAATGTAGCAAGTCTAGTGATCAGAAATTATAAACAAAATCTTAAAAGTACAGCACTATATAACTTTTTGAGAAAGTCATATTACTTCCAAACTGGTATGCAATATTTTTTTATATACTGTACTACCAATATACGATGTCAAACCAAAAATTATCATAAAAGCTTTTCATTTGAAAGAATGGTCTAAAAATTTAAGTTATGGTAAATATAGTGTGACTATAACATACAACATTTTTTTCAAATATCTGTATTACATTTTTTTTATAATAATAAAAAAAAACCCAAAAAAAGATAAAATACACTCATACTGTATTAAACTTCAAGGTTGCCAAGTGTAAACTAATAAGTTAACAAGTATATTATATTAGAAAAAAATGTTTTTATTATATTTTTGATTACAAAATATGTCTAACAATGGAAACAAATTATTAGAATAGACAGCCAAGCAACCCTATACAATGTCTTTACAATATTTTTATCAATATTTAGTATTTTTACGATCTACAGATTTGTATCGAATTGTTTGATTGAAAGAGGTTTTATCACTTTCAGTTATAATAATTTCTGAAGACCTACGAGCTTCCGGGCCTACTATAACCCTATGCTAGCTTCTTGTTAATAAAAATCTATTTTACTTCATTATTTATTTACTTGTTATTTTACTTTGTCCAGCAAAAAAACATTAAATTTATTATTTGGTTTTTATGTACATACATTTTTATTTTTAATAATTATTTTAAAAAAATTGTAAAAAGATTTGTAGGTACCTATTGTTATAACACATAACTCTTCTTCTAAAAATAAATTCACTAATAATTGACATGCAACATTTTACTTAATATTTGTTTTTAAATTACAATTTAAATATTACATTTTTATTTAAAGTGTATTCATACATTTTAGTATAAAAAAAGGGATCAATTGTAAACATTATAGGGAAACTAAGTAAAAAATAATACATAATAATTGTTAAATCTATGACTAGTTAGTTATACATATTGGTTTTTTAGTAGAAAAAATAAGTTTCACTTGAACACTTTTTAGTTGAACCAATGGCTTCCCATACATTCTCTTGACCATTCTGTTTGGCACAACCAACACCACGGAAACGAACATCGTGTACATACCATATGCATACAGCCACCTTTAATTAAAAAAAAAAAACAGGTTTATAATAAATAATTTTAAAATATAATAACCACATGTTTTTTCTTATCTGACATGTAAAATATATTTAAAAACAACTAGAACTGCTACATATATTTGAGAATAATACTAGCTGAGAAATCTTTGTTTCACTCTGTATTCTTTGACTTGTGTCACAAAGCAGACATGGAATTAAGCGCCAATAAGAAAAAAAAACATGATCAAAAGAGTGGAGTAGAAAAATACTGTACTATTACCATCTCGTTCTGTAGCAGTGCGGCACTTAGGGCAAGGTTTAGTCGATACTTTTATTTTTACATTACTTGCGTCGTCCCATTTAGCCTAAATAAGTTATAAAATAATAATTAATCAATTTAAATGTTTGTGATGTAATCACAATTATTTTTTTAATATGTATAAACCTGTGATGCAAGTTTTGGGTCAATAGAGTAACCAGCTATATCACTAATGAGCTGTTCTTCCCTTGGAAAGCAATCTCCTATATGATAACCTTGCAAACATTTTTTACAAAAGACGTACTGCAAAAAAAAAAAATTGCTAGTAAGTTATAAAACAACTATTAAGTCGATCATTTCACAATTTTACCCCACATCCATTGATACACGTCACTTTATCACATTCGTCATCCACAAGAATTCCGGCACCACATCCAGGTTGTGGACATAATACTCCACCTTGATGAAGCACATACTCTTCAGCTGCAAATCTTTCATACATTTCATACTAAAAATATATTTATATTATAAACCTTATAAAAAATTACAATTTAAAACGTTTACTTGTTCTTGTTTTAAGGTTTTGAAATGATAAAGTTGACTTATCAAACTATCAGGACACCCGGCTGGACAAGGTAATGTATAACCAAAATTAATATCAGAAATAAATCGTCTTTCTCTTAATCGGCTTACTGCATAATCACAAAAACATTCTAAACACGTAACATGACCATCCACACAAGGATACACAAATACTTTTGGTCTAAATCAATAAAAAAAAAATTATCAAATAATAATAAACATAACATTTTACTAAAACATTAGTAATAATGAATACTTCACATCGGTGCATGCCAAACAAGGAATATGATGTAGATTGTTTCTAACTAGGTGTAATGCTACAGCTTCATCAGTTTCACCTTTGGTAATGTGTTCAGAACATTTAAAATAAAATTCTGACCACCCTACTTCTCCATCCTATTCACATGAAAAGTTGTATTAGAAACAAGCAAGTAATTATCAAGCATCAAAAAATACATACTGTACATTCTGATATTTCACAATGTCCAGTAATTCTTTTTGGTTTAAGTACGTCATTCCAATTCTTCGGATCGCCATCTACTGTGAAAGCACCATTTTTGCATTTGAAACATCGAACACGAATTTTACCAACTGTCGTAGTAGAACAAGGCGAAGAACAGTAAACATAAAAGTTAGCTACAGCTCGTTTAGTGTTATCAAATTCATCATCTTCGTTTTCTTCTTCACAAATAGATATCCGTTGATCACGTTTAAATGACCGACGCCTAGTCTTAACTGCATGTAAAACCGTCTGTTCAGCTAGATTATATTCTTCCAGTAACTCCGAGTCGTGTAATTCTTTACCGGCAAATATAATCATCACCTGTTAAACAGAAACAATATTTAAAATCATGAGTTAGCAAAATTATTTTACTATTCAACTTTATCAGTACTGACTTCCTCCGGAGTCATTCCCAACTTTGGCGCAACAAACTCTTTGACATCTCTTACTTCCCATTTCGGATCCAAGCCAACAGGCACAATTGAGCCTGTATTGGTTTTGACGTATATCAGTAATGAATTGGTGATTCGCTTGGTGAATATCGTGTCTAAGAGACGACGGATTATTCGTAATATGGTATCGAATATATTCATAATAGTTTATCGAATGAATTCAATTATAGATTTTGTTGTAAAGAAAAACAAAAAATAAATTATTCATTAACGACAACGGTTGTTTATATTAAACGGTCAAATCACAAACCATAGGTCATAAATCATGATAACTGATAAGAGATTCATGATAATGTTATCACGCAGGACAGACATTATAGATTAAACTTTTTCAAGCGGTTTCACCGACGAGTTTCGAACATTTACACAGGCTTAAATTAGGTCTTATCGAACTTGAATGAATTATTTATACAGAAGCACGAAATTAACTGGATATGTTGAATTTCAAATTTTACAGGAAATATATTATATATAGGTATATAATATTTATATGTGAATTGGCAGTTAATAGCTGATTGTTATAGGGTGACAATTCACAAGAAAACAGTTTTAATATTAGTAAAAACTTTTCTCCCTAAAAGACTCCCTACTACAAAACTGATGGCACTGTCATAACAACTTTTATAGTTTGTCATTTTCACTATATAGATTACCCCGCTTGGTAAAATTTGCAACTAGTCACTAGTTATAATAGTCTTTCCAGTAATAACATTTAAGTACAAATAACAAAAACTAATTAAACTATTTAGCACATTATGGAATTTATGTACATAAATAATGATTAGGTACTGTTTGTTATAATCATTATACATTTATTATCAACTTCGAATTTTTACGCAAGATTTATAAATTAAGTAGATAATCCTTAAAAAACAGGATACAATTAATAATTATAAATGTTAATATTTATAAAATGGTTTGTATTCTTGTACAATAATATTTAAAAAGTGGTATATGTATAAAATATAAAAAATTGGCTGTGTGATATGTGTTATGCTGTATTTACGGATGAGCATATTATAGTTTAATAAATTAGAAATAGAAAAAATTTTATTGAAATCAGATATTTTAAAATTATTTGATTTGTTTATGATAATTCATGTTGCCTTATTACTTCTAATAATAAATGGTCCCGGTAAAAATATAGGTGATAAAATTGAATTTGTAATAATAAATCAAAATATCAGTAACAATAGGTAATATTGTATGATATTCTAAATGTGATGACAATTTTGATATTTTTATAGTCTATTTTGTTTAATTGAAAAATGTAAATAAGCATCCCACATCACAAAACAAAAACGTCACAGCCGTATTAATAAAAAACGCATTGTAAAAATATTAGAACGTTTTCATAAATATAGTTCTTTAAATTTTGGTGTTCAAGCATAAAATATATTACCATTGGTATGATAAAAATAGCCTATATGCATTATGCATAGATAAAAATAATCATTAAGTAGTTAACACTACTTAACTACTAACAGTAGTAGGCACTAGAGTACAATAATAATAATAACCATTATTATTATATCATAATATTTTATGTTATTATGTTTGCGATTATAAAATGAGCATTTCGTTAGGTAATATAATAAATAATAATTATACAATATGGAAATTTGAAGTTCCCCACACACGATAGTAACACGGATATCGAATTTTTTTTATAAACAATTGTGGTAGATAGCAAAGGCATGAATATTTAAGGTTCTAAGGACAATATGTTCTTTACATTTTTGGTTTTATATCTAGAGAGATATTTTAAGTGATTACATTTATTTTTAATAAATGCTCATAATTTATCCTCATTTGGAATTTATACACTTGTTAATGTGATTTCATTTTTACAAGGCACAATAACATCTGAAATGTAAGATAACAAATAATTTGGTCATAAATAAACTAAAACCCATTCTTTAAGTTGTTAATAAATAATAAATATTTGGCACCTCTTTGTTAAAAAATTACTTTAAACATAACGTGTAACAGAAACTTAGCACTAAACGCTAAACATCTAACCTTTTTGGAATTTTTTTCCACCACAAATTTCGAAAAAGTATAAACTACCTACTACAATTGTTTATAAAATGTTTGTGTCCTGTGATATCCGTATTAATATTGCCTGTGGCGCCGAACTTATGCATGAACTGAAGCGAACGCTTCATATAATAAAAAGGGCGGGTGAAATAATATAAGGGAGAAAATTATTATTTGGCTTAAAGTTATTAAAAAAGGTTTGGGGGAAGAAGTTATTTTATATAATATAGACTTTGCTTCCTATATAAGTATGAAATTCGGCGTCACTGGATCTCGATTTGAATTACCCTACTATATCATCGTATTATGCATCTATGTAACATGATGTACTCATAGTGTATACAATTATAATTAACTTAAGTCTTAACATTTATGTTTGAAAAAACATATTGATGTTTTGTAAATTTTGATTTTAAGTACAAACTTGTAAACATTATTATAAAACAATAGACAATCGCGGTCGTGGTCATAGATTATTTAGTACGAAGCATATTAAGATGAATCGTTTATTTGAGAATATAGATGAATGGTTAATTAAAAGCAAAACCAAACACTTTGAGGTCCAATGCTTAAGATACTAACTAGAAATAATAATGCGAGGGCTCTTGTTTATTGAATAATAAAAGAGTGATTCTCAAATATTACACCACTTGCCCTCAAAAATGTATCCAACACTGAAATATACAAAAGCGCCAAATTCAGCAATTGATGAGTTGTTTATGAACAAGTCATTCATATTATACACGATGTTGTTTAATGTAGTATTATTACAATTATTTTCCATGATATTAGAAATAAAATAAAATAATATAAGTAAAATTATATGTACTATTAGCTTAGGTGTCTACGGACCTACCACTTTATAAACCTTTATTAAGACCACAACCGCGAGAGTGTGACATTTTCGAAATTAAAGTTATCTCTATTTGAATAAAAACAAACAAAATAGGTGTGGAAGCTTCTAGAAATTTGGAAATTTGACTTCTTTGGCTGACTTGTTATTTTCAACTACCCATACCGAACCATTCTGAGCCTTCTGCAGCACATGAATCAATCCCCGTCCAACACTTTGAGCACTATAATAATATGCATGTTATGATTTTGCCTGTTAATACTTAATAAATGGCTGGTGATAAAAAAATTGTCACTATTTTTAAATAGGTACTTACGCTTGAGGCGCCTGAGGAGCGACGTCTTTGTCCCAGAGGTGTAGAAAACTGGGTGATAGCAAGGCATGCGTAACGTCTTCAGGTATAGCATCCGTTAGCGTCATTCCAGGACACAAGGCTATGACCCGTATGCCAGTTAAATTATTGTGGTACGAATCCTTGAGGGGAGAAATTTAAATTATAATTCATTTTTCTTTAATTGCTTTAAAAACGATATGAGAATTATCGAAGAAAGCAACGGTTAATGCTTAAAGTAATGAATTTGTGAAACTTATTAACCACGCTAAAAAAATATTGAGCAACTCTCTAACAGCGCAATAAAAATGGAAGTTCCCGTTGAGTTACCACGACGGTCTTGGATTGTCTAAGACGGTCAACTATCAAGAAGACCGACGGAATTTTTTTGTGCAGTAAGATTAGTGAATATTAGCATACCCCAAATGATCTAATAAAACCAATAAGAGCATGTTTGGTGGCTGAGTAGATAGGCATGCTAGGACACGGTTTGTAACCCATGGTGGAAGACGTGACAACCACTGTTCCGCCGCGCCCGCCCTTGTCCTTGCCCATGAGTTGCATAGCCAAAAGTGTTCCTCTGATAACACCATTCTGTGAAAACATTAAAATAAATTCCCTTAGAAATACGTTGTAGGGTTAAAGCTTGCTTTGTGCGCACTTCTATGTATGTTTACCTTAAATACAAAAAGTATACCAGAGGATATCCGTAGCAAAACGAATATAATTTGTGGGATTGCATAGGCAAAATGGGCCTTTTCAAGATAAAAGCGTCATTTAGCCAGAAAGGAAGAAATTCCTAAAAAATCTATAAATGGAGTTTTGCTTTGTTTAGCTGCGAAACCTGGACAATTAGCAAAAAAAAAAGGTGAACTTCGGAAAGAGGTCTTCGAGATGTGGTAGTACAGAAGAATGGTAAAGATTCCATGGACTGAACGAGGTAGAATCGAAGATGTACTATACTCGGTAGGAGGGGGAAAACGGCCAATATGTCAATGTATCCAATATAGAAAAGATAAGATGGAAGGACATACATTAACATATAAAAGTTTATTAAAAACAATAATTGAAGGAGATGTTGACGGATACATTGGAAGAGGTTAGACGATAACCAAGGACGGAATATGTGACTAAAATGATTAAGGTCACGAAAAAGGAAAAATACAAGGACCTAAAATAATTAAGCTATAGAAGAGAAGCATGCATGAGGTGCTGCAACAGACTAATATGTAATTTATCGTAGGATTAATGACGAAAAGAGAAATACAAAAAATGTATGAACGCTTATTAAAAATTAACAAGTTGTTCAGCTATTATATTACCATACATATATCATAAATATGCTGTTATTTCTCTGGTATAAATATATTTCTTTTAAATTGTCCATGTAAATTAGTGTTGATATGTACATTTCATACGTTTTGTTGTTGTTATGTTAAATCATTTAAATGTTGAATAGACAGTTAACATTAGTGGTGGGACTAATCGAATAAAAAAGATTCGAATATTCGAATACTTTATTCGCACGAACATTCGATGGGTTATTCGAATATTCGATCTGATTTTTCGAATATTCGAATATTTTATCATTTTCTTCGCAGGATTAATTAGATTAAAAAAAAATAATAATTAAGAGACAACTAAGGTGTCCTTGATCAATTTTTAATAATTTTTTAACAAAATAAATATAATTATAACGAATTATTCTTTTGACAAAATAAGTATTATTACTTATTACAACAAATAAGATTTTAACAATTTATATAGGTATACAATTACAAAAAAACATAAATTTGACAGAATATTCGAATTATTTGATTACTATTCGAATTAATTTCATACGAATAGTATTATTCGATTATTCGAATAACTCGAATAATAGAAAAATTCGATTCGAGGTCTCAGCTCTAGTTAACGTATAAAATACAAATGGCTCATTCGTAGTGACCCACGGCTGTACTTTATGCTATGCTTTTCGTGAGTTAAAAATATTCAGAATAATACGTATTGTGACGTTGTCTTATAAGCTATTGATTGTAAAGTTAAAATAAGCACTATAACCATTATTATTAATATTATTATTGAAATATTAATAGTGTTAGAATTTTAGAAAATATAATATTCTCATGCTTCTCTTAACCAACTGTCAAAATTTGATTCCGCATTATGTTTACATAATATATATAATAGGACTTACCAGGTTGACATCGACTTCAAACTCCCAAAAACGGTCGTTGAACACACCCGCGTTGTTCACCACGATGTCGAGTCCTCCAAAAGAGGTGATAGTTTTATGAAATGCCTCTGAAAAACCGTATTAGATCTTAAAGTAAATTTTGGGACATAAAAAATTAGTGACTACCTTTGAATTGCGGGTAATCTGTAACGTCGCACGGACAGAATCGCACTTTTCCGTATCCGAACTTGGCGCTCAGCAGGTCGGCCAGCTTGGATCCGACTTCTTCGTTAATGTCGCATATGGATACCTAAGTATAACGTTGACAATTCGCTCGTATGAAACTGGTACGTGTCAACACAAATAATGTATTATTAAGTCTGATATTTCTTACTTTGGCTCCGTGTTTTAACAGTTCTTCGCAGTACGCGCGGCCTATGCCGGCTGCCCCGCCTGTTACCATGGCGACCTTACCCTTGATTTCCATCGATAATTGTACACAAATAAGGATAGGACGATTCGGCGAAATAACGTTAAACCGTCTGTGTTTGCTGCACTCGATACGACGGATATGCGATTAAAAACAACATAAAGACCGACGAAAACCAAGTTGCAATCTCCTGTATTATTTCCGTCGAGTACGCCAAGATCACTGCCAAGCCGGCCTCGCCCTTAGCAACGGGTAGCGATAAAAGCGCGTTGTGCTGCCGCCTGGAGCGCTAAATGCCCAAGTTGCGATGACTAAGCGCCATGTGAAATCACAACCGTGTCTAGTGTTACACAAATGCAATGTACATTACGTAGGCGCAACAAGAGGACGCAGCGACAAGGGATAGAGGGTGACTAAGAGATAATTTAGCACATTCGTTACATTCGTGATCGGGTTCGCGATTGATGCACAATGTAAAAATATCTTATTAGTTTTAATATCTACGTACCTTAAAATTAAATACACCTCATATCGATGGATAAAATATGTTACGTACATTTGAAACACATATTATTACTTCTTTTCAAACAAATTAATTCTTTTATTAATACTTAGATTATATTGTGACAATAAAAATATATTTTTCTTTGACAGAAATGCTTAGTAGTATAACATTGGAAATTAAATGTATATTAATTATAACAGACGTTCTTAATACATTATTTCGATGTGTCCTTATAAAAGAGACAATTCCTACATTTAATTTATCTTCAAATAATGATTGAACCTTCTTCTGGTTTGCCTTCTTCTCCAAATTCTCCATCCATTTCTTCGCCAGACAAGTTTTCTGCCGCGGCATTCTCGTCTCTCTCCGACTGCGCTAACCATGCCTTTATTTCACCATCCATTTCTTCGTAGTCATGAGGGAAGAATTTTATGGCATCATCGATACCAATGTTCTCATCGGGGCTGACATATACCGGACCAACGTCCACGAATCGCAGTAAATATTTGTCCTTGTCATCTTTTAGTACCGAAAGCACGAGTTTGGCGTCTTTGCTAGAAATATATGCGTGTTAATATTTGTTAATATTTTGTGTAGATAACCAATAATTTATTAGACACATTTAAAAAGACTTTTAAGTATTACAAAACAATTTAAAAGGGCAGATTCACATAGTAAAATGACAATGATTTAAACGACTTTAATTTAGGTATGCTTTAAACTAGAGCTAGCGATTACACGTGTAAGTTAATACACGTGTAACACGTGTAGTTCGAATTGACGTGTAGAAGTTCTTGTAGTTATAAGTACACGTGTATCTGCAACTACACGTATTCTTACAAATGTAAGTTTTAATAAGACCTCTAATTTTACGTGATACTATTCTTTAATTAATGGTTGTCACTAAGATAAAAGTATTATAGTAGCCATTGGGTCAAGTTAGTGGAATCTCGGGTTCTACACGTGTATTCATAATTACACGAACTTCTACACGTGAATTCGAACTACACGAACCTTGTCCTACACGTGTATAATCGTGAATCGTCGGCTCTACTTTTAACTAACCAATATAAAGATTATTGAGTAAACATTCGATACACGTTACATTGATTAGTTTAAAGCATACCTAAATTATTAATGTAGGTAATGTGTTTCGAATCTTTGCTCAATGCTCGATTGTCTCTTTGGAATTTTTATAAGAAATCACATCGGTTAGTTAAAACTCTTAGTACTGTACCGAAATGTTCACAGGCCCACCGACCGCCCAAATGACAATTAAAGTAAAATAGTATGCTCTATAGCCTTACAATAATTTAGTTATTCGATTGTTTAATTCTATTTTTAAATATATTTCATAAAATTACTTTTATAATAAAAAAAAGTTATATTTAGTTTAAGAGGGGAACTTAACTTAAAAACGCAATTCTCATTAATCTTATTAATAAAGAATACACGCTTTTGTTATTTTATTTTTGAAAATAAACAACACCTACTTTAAGCAAAGAGTTGTTTCATTATTTTTATATAATATTTTTACTTTAAATAAACCATTCAATTTATTCTTTGCCCAATCTGACATAAGTATCTTACTTCATGTATATGAAGTATCTATACTTCTTTAATTACCTTAATTGGTATGTAAAATAGTGTGTTAATTGTTATTATAACTATTATAAGATATTACTTATATTACTCACCCAACTCGTTCCATGCCGTAAGTAACAAGTAGTTCTGGATCTTTGCACAGCAGTTTTGGATTTTCTGGGTCAGCACTGCGGAAAAATCCATAATTTACTATATTATCTTCAAGATCCTCTATGATCGGTAGTACGGTGTTAGATTTGGTAATTTCAAAAATAACAAGATACTGAAAAATATATAAAAAAATAATTACATTCGGAGAAAAACATAGTTTTGTGTTTATATTTTATTATGACAACTTTAATATAATAATATAACATTAAATAATGTGTATGAATTATAAAAAGCGAGAAAACTATACGTTTTAAATTATAAATTAAAAATGATTACTATTTTCTTTAAAAAATAATATGATTAATATATTTTGTTTAAAGAATTACTTAGTTAAAAAAAAAAATATTTGGATTTTGATTATACATCACAAACAATACAAGTATTCGACGTATTATAGAAAAAAACACATATTCTAATAAGTGTAACATTATTTCGTATTAGGCTTATTATACGGATCGACTAAAAACAATTAAGTGTATACAACTATAAAGTATAGAGATAGGAGCTTATAGAATTAGATTTAATCTATATACATATTCATGTATTAACATTTAATGTTGGTAATTTTGTGTATTTATTTTGAAAAACCGATAATTGGCATTTGACAAACCTGGGGAGCCGGTGGTTGGGGCGGTAAAAATCCATTATTCTCGCAAAATTTAGGAAACAGAACAGCAAGAGCCGCAGTCTTACTCATCGGACTGACGGGGGTGTATAAAGAAGGGATAATTACTCCATCTTCGGTTTCCAGTCTAGTTTGAGCTGCTATTCTGTTAATGTATTTTTAGACGATTTTAATTTATTGCGTTTTCATTATCATCAAGATGTACATACGAGTCGGGGCTAGGGTCCAAAGGACCTCCTTCGCCGTAAATAATTAAGCTCATCCTGCTTTCAATCACTCCCATTAGGTCTGGCTGTTCAGCTTCCAAGTCTTCTTCTTCTGTTTCGACAACTGTAGCTGTTGGCGAAGACACCATAACTGAGTAGATTTTATTTGCCAACAGCTGGTCGATAAGTTCTTGGGGGTAGCTGTTCAATATTTGTTTGTCCAAAAAAAATAACTAAAAAAAAAAAAATAGAATAGCCATAATTACTATACACAATCGTATTCAAACATTCAACTCCAATTTACGGGTAAAAACTAAAAATGAATAGTATTTAACGAATAGATGATTTGAATGACGACGGTTTTTAAAGGGACAAGCTAAAAACTGTAACCCGCTCTTCTATTTGCAGTATCACCCAATTACAAAAAAAAATATTTTTTCTTAACACTAACCATATTATTTTCTATATTAATTATATATCCATAAATAATTATCAGCCTACGACGTCAATTTTATTAAGCCACCTAGTCGCCTCAAACTTATGTAATTACCTCGTTTAACGTGTCTTCGGTCAGTTGCAGTTCTTTGGCGTCGATAATGATAAGCTCTTCGAATTTACGGGCGCATGTGGTGGCTATATCGCACACTCGTTGTTCTTGCATCACTGGTTCGTCTGGCGGTTCCATTCCTTCTTCCACTGGTTTTTCCACCATAACGTATTTGATGGTGTGAGGGAAGAACATAACACACGTTTGCTTCTGAACATTTTGCACGAACTTTTTTAAGGCGTGCTCCCTAATTTTGATCATCCGCTCTCCTGCAAGTCGAGTCGATAGCAACTTCTATGTTCAATCACTCTTTATTTAAATTGCTTAGCAAACTAGTTATAATATACCTCACCATAAAAAATTAAAAACAACGTTATTTTTTCAATTCGTTTTCAGTGTTAGTAGCACTACTTTTAAAAAATAAAGCAACCATTCACAAAATTATTTTTATTCGGTAGTGTTATATTATTTATCGACTGTGGACATGACTTGTTCCTGACGTTAAAACCACGAAAACCGTTTTTTGCCAAAATTTGCACTAGAGAAGTTGTTCTTTGGAAACAGTGACGTGTCTTCTCAAATAAACGTTTTAGTTATGTTATGTATATATGTGTGTGTGTATTTCAACAGAATTTGAGGGGGAAAAGAGGCAGGAACTAAATTTCTTATTCGGCTTATGAACTTTAAACTTGTTTAGGTCAAAAATATGATTTTTGAAGGCTTGAAACGAAATCATTATCCAGTTATTTGGTTTTATCTAGATATTTAATTTAAACACTTGTTTAGTTACCTCTGACAATTTTTTCTTCTTTAGATATTGAATCGTGATATTGCTCGTTGTCAGCCATTTTCCTATACTCTTCTTCAGTTATTTGATTAAAAGGCATCTGGAATAAAAGAAAATTAAGTTTGAATATTTCATTTTAAACTGCATGAATAACGTCATTTTTAATACATACAAAGTGTCTATGGATTTCTCCTCTTTTAAACTTGCTATATTGTTCAAATTCAGTGGTTATTAATTTAACTAATCTTGGAGCGTTTGTTTCAATAATTAGGTTGACCAAATGTCCATCCTTCGTTGCATAATAATAAATTCAATACCCTATTTTGGCAAATTATGATAGGTATTTAGGTAATTGTTCAACTTACAAAGAGGAACATCCAATGAGGTTCACTTTTTTTTCGAAATCTTTCCAGTGCATCAATTGTATCAGACTTGGCCTGGAAATATTATTTCAGATGAACATTATTTATAGTTATAGTTTAAGCAGTTTTTTATGATATTTAGCCGATTTAGCTGATGCCTATACGAAAAAAAACCGAAACACTCAAATAGTTTTAAGTGAAAACTTTGTTTAGTTACAACTTACAAATCTCCAGTAATCCCTCGCCTTCTCACAAAATCGAGAAGGTAAGTAGTATAATCTTTCTTCGGTAATGTAACTATAATAATTGTTGGGTGAATTAGCTTTAATATTTAAGTATTATTTGTAGTGAGGGTTACACTTGGAACTTTAGAAAACACCATTCTAGAAAATATAAAAACCATTATACTATCGCTTAAACTCTGAACTTCTACGAAGTCATTTTTCTACTCAAACATCTCAGACATGATAGGAAAAGAACAGTATTTTTCAGAAAATTTAAAGAAAAAAAAAATTGGAACCTCGAATTCCCAATTTTTAGAGAATGATCAATAACTTATTACATTTCACTACCAATATTACGATCAATATATTATAACGTAAAAATACTATTAATTACAATTGCATAATGCAAATCATCTCCGCCAAGTTCCAACTTGATTTTTTTCAAATTTGCTATCATTGGTACACAAGGACCACACCATTCCGTATAAATGTCGATAACTAAACATAAAATGAAAAACAATTAAGATTTAATTTTTTTTTCAATCAATTTATCAGTAATAACTTTTAACAACCATAAATTCCTGTTTTTTCTAACAATTTTTGCCAGTCTTCGTTATTGTTGACTTCCTCTTGAAGAGCTACTTGTCCTGCTTTTTTCGCCATCCGGCAAGATCTTTTGTGATGTGCTGTCTGGATACGAAAAAAATACACAATACAATAAAAATACTGATGAATAAATACAATTATATTTTTCTCAAAAAAAAAAAAAGGAATTTTTGTAAATTATAAAAATAATTATGTCTTAAATTTCTCCAATGATGTGTACGTACCGATTTTGGCGGCATATTTTTTTTTTATGAAAAAATGTATTATAGACAAATATAAATGCAGGTTCACAAAATAATGAATGCACAAAATGAACTACAAATCGCAACGATAGTACGATGACAAAATGTCGAGAACGTGCTATGCGACCATTTATAGGCACATACTAAACTCCCCAACCTTCCACACAGTCCGAAAAGTTTAAATACTGACAATAGTTTTAGTAAATAGATATTAAACAGTCGTTAGTAAATTAAAAGCTTACCTAACCACGCACACTATACAGGGTGAAAGTAAAACGGAAGCAAGTTATGAAAAACTAGAAAGTTGACGATTTACAAATATTATGTATACATACAGGCCTGAAATACACACTAGAAATAAGCAATTATAATTTAAACTATAAAGTTTATAACGCCAAACAACTTTGTATTTTTTTAGCTAAAAGACAAAGATTTATTTTTTAATTACATCAAACGGCTCAAACGATGATGCCATTTGACTTAGACTTATTGGATTAAGAATAGGGCTACTCAACTGGAAGTAGAACCTCATACGTTTTGTACATAAATATATATTTACTCCGAATCTCTATGTACTCCTTATTTATAGATTGATAATTGTTTTAAAAAAATGCCCTTTGGCATTTTAAAAATAATTACTTTGCTAATGGAACAATACGTATACATATAGTACGTATACGTATAGTACGTATATATGATATTTTGAGTGTCACGGGACTTTAAATTTAATATAAATAATTTTACTAAAAATTTCTTAATTTTTAAAACTACTTTAAATATGAAATATAATATTTAACATTTCTATACCTATTATTATTTAAGTTTTCCAGCTATTCACGTCTTTATTATTTATTAAAAGTTAATATTATAGTGGGAGTAATATAAAATATTAAAGTAGAATAATTCTACTTTAATGTTTCCTAGGAAAATCTTTACAAACTACTCAAGCGTAAACCTAAAAAGAAATTTTTTTTGTTTTATGCTACTAACATCTAAAAAAAACAAATTTTCGGAACTAATATTTTACACTTAAAATAAATGTCAAATAATTAAATAAACCCTGGACAAAAAAAACGTAATTTTTCTTTATTTCTTCTCCATTATAATGTGCATGTGATATGTGAAATTTGAATGTATTACACTTTATTTAATAATTTCTTCTTAATCTTCCAGCTTTAAAGGCCATTGAGGCCCATTGCTGCAAAACAAATCTCTTTCCATCTGTCTCTGTTCAGAGCTGCTTCAATAATATTGTCTACCTCAAGTTGGTTTAGTTCCTTTTTATTTTTGTCCATTTTTGTCATTTTATTTAATAATTTATAAATTATAATTAATAAAAATAAAATATAATTTTAGACTCAAATATTTTTCAATATCCACCTATTTGAGCCATTGCCTAAGCTTTTTTCATTGTATGTATCATTCATTTCAATGTATGAATGCACCTGATTATCACCCTGTATATTTTATTTTTCAAACTATTTAAGACATTTGTGAATTCGGTGCCAGGTTACTGTGATGTGATGGAACCGTTGAATACACGGAAATGTGGTTTTAAGGCGCAAAATGCAAACAAAACATGCGACACACGGAGATCTGCTGCTATAATTGTGTCACGATTTTATTAGAATAACTATTATAAAGTTTAAGTAGGGTGAATATTGAACAGTGTGGAAGGCGGGTAGTTTATACTCCCCATAACGCGATTTTAGGTATGACAAAACAGTTTATTATTATAGTCAAAATAAAACCATTGGTTCAACCTAAAGATATTTTCATATAATTTGTACGAACGTCAGTGAACGACCATAAACCGATAAACGTACAGTCGCTTTTTAAGCAATTAGTTGTTTAATAAATGCATTAGAGTTCTTACCTTTGTATTTAAGTAAACGTTAAATGACGATGGTTATGACAATTGCTTGCACTAACTAGGTATAATTATAATAATCGTTTAAACAAGCACTTAATAACTAGATATAACTTTTATATTATCAGAAAAGTAGCATATAGGTATTACATTATATCTAGTCTAAAAACTCATTTGGTTTCTATGGAAACGGTTTTATGGATTCATTCCTATAGAGTGAGGTGTGAACGGTGTCATGAAATTCTTAGACAAGTAGATACCTATAATATATATACATATATTGGATGGCCATGTCAAATTAAAGAACCACCCTAATATATTTAGATAGTATACTGTCACTCGGCCCAGCCCGGCGGAGCTTCGTCAAGTCATTTAAATATTAACATTTTTATTATTTAATTATTAACTTTCTTACTAAAGCACAAAATTGAAGTTGAAATAAAATATTATTATTATGATACCACTAAGTGTATTTAATAGTTTTTAAAATCAGTATTGTAATTTGTAGGTAACAAACCAGCTTTTTCTATTAAACTAAACATGCCTAGCAAAACTATAACAAACTATTTTACCTCCTATTAAATATTAACTTTTTTACTTATAAGTAATATATTTTACATTTCAACATTTATTTTTAGTTATTAATTATCATTAATTCAAGTGGAAATGTAATTTTTAATTTTATTAAATTTAATCTAGTTTTTATCTAATACATACTTAAGTAAAAGGTATTCAACTGAATTGACTAACTTTCACGTATTAGATTTGAATAACTCTTACTGAACTATAAGGTAACAAATATTGTATTTATGTATCAGTGGCGTAATTAGGAATTTTTCTTAGGGGGGGATAGACATTTTTTTACATATAAAATACAAAATACTACATTTTCAAGTAAAGTGGTGAGTGGTAGCTGGGATTACTATTTTATCAAAAATCCTAAAACTAATATCTTAGTACACAAAATGATTAAATTTTGCTTTAAAATTTTACACAATTTAGTACATATACAATATTATAATAAACTCTTTAAAATGTAAATATTGAATATATTAAAATTTATTATATTTTTAAAACAAATAATAATTATTAAAATATAAATTTATTTTGTTTGGAATATAATATCATGTACATTAGGGTGGTTAAAAAAAAATGTTTTTTTAATTTTATGTTCTTCTCATGATAATATATTATTTGGATGAAAAGATAATTTTTTATAATTTTAAACCCATTCCTAGATGTGGTTCTGGTCAATTTGATATCAAAAGTTTATTATTTTTAACTTTTTTTTTTGTTCAATAAAAAAATTCTTCAAAAAAAAATCTTTTATATGAAAATAAACAGCATAAAAAAAAAAATAAAAGTTGATATTCACTTGATAAAAAAATACGGAATTGCTAATGTAATAGCTCTTTTTTTGTACTGTTTATAAAAGATTAATAAATATATATTAAATATAGGCTCTGGGGGGGGTCTATCCCCCCACCCCCCCTTAATTACGCCCCTTTTATGTAATTATTTATAAATTATTTTTGTATGGCTTTTTGACCGGAAGTATGCTTTTAAAGGTCTTATTTGGTCTAGGTTTAGACAGAGAAAGCTGTCACTATTACAACATTAAATTTAAGTTTATTCTGTGTTTTTTTTATTTAAATTTACATTTATCACAACATTGATTTCAGTTTTACTTTAATTTTTGGAAAATAAATAAGTTTTTAAATTTTGAATTATTAATTACGTATGTACGTATATACAAATGTTTATACTGTAATTAGTAAGTTCAAATTCTACATTGTGTAATGTAAGATAAAAATATAACATATTAGATTCCTTAGTAAAATATACAGTCGGTTTATAACAGTTCTACACGATTAATATATACAAAAACAAATGTATAACAATAATGATTAGGAGCCAGATGTGGTACTGCTACTTGGATAATTTTGTTTGGCCAAAAATGGATTGAACTGAGAATTGTATTTTTGTACAATAGCAGGAGGTTTTGGTTTTGCTACCTCTACTGGAATTACTCCATTCATTCTTGCTATTAGTTGACTAGCCCTAAACCGTTCTCCTCTTTCCCTTTTCAATCGTTTTGCTCTCAACTCTTCTAAAATTGTTGCTTTTTTGTCTTTATTCTTCTCTCTCTCCTTCTCTTTTTTCTTCTTTTTTTTCTTATGTTTTTTATTAGGCGAGTCATTAGTTTCCTTTATTTTGTCTTTAATTTTTTTGGTATCTTTTTTATCACCTTCCACATATTTTTTAATAACCAATAGTGGATCATTGAAATTCTTTACTTTAGTTTCAATTTCTTTTTCATTTTTAGTTTTGTCTAATCGAGCTGGCCGTTTGTTGTACCACTGAACATTTCCAGTTGCCTCATCTGTATCCTGCCCAAGGTAAGTGAGATAACCAATTTTTTTTTCATATGCTTCTTTTTCTTCTTTTTTTTCTTCCTCGTGTTCTTTATTAACACCTGTATGAGCTACATGGCCATCTTCAAGATCTTGAAAAAAGTTTACATGACCTGACTCTGCTATTACTTCATCTTTAGGACGATCAGCAGAATCATCATACCTTTCTTTTGCTTTACCTCTTAATATTGATAACTTAGCCTCTTGTTCCTTAAAAAACAAATAAATAATAAATAGTACTCCATACAGTTAACTGTTTTTCTTCACTTACAGCCAGTTGTATTCTCATCTTGAGTTTTTTTTCTTCTTCGGCTGCTAGAGCCTCGTCTCGCCTGACACGAGCGATATTGTCTTTGGTACGTACATGCCATCTGAAAAATTACAGTGTTCGTTTAAATATTGCTTATATGATTACTATGAAAAATATGTTTAATAACTATTTAATGTTAGGTTTTTTTGTTATGTGAATACAAATAAATACAATTTTTTTTACAAATAACATTGACTTAAATTTGGAATTTGTTTTTAAGTACCTAATTTGTAGCAGACCTTAGGTGTTCTGGCTACAATGGATTTTTATTTAACCAGGGAGGGGGTCCCTTTTGGCACAGATTTTAAGTGGGTACGTAAGTAAATTGTTTGGGTTTGCCTCTTTTAAACGTTATTTCAGGTAGACAGTTTCTAAATAACTTTTTCAGAGCACAAAAAAAATAACTAACATTTACATTTATTAAGAAGTTAATGTTGCTTTAAGAAATTTACTGGCCCTTAACATCAATTAATAGTTAAGTATTCATAATAATTGATTCGTTACATATTTAAAATAAACTCTAAAATCTATAAATTGATGTGCATCGGCATAATATGCATTCAAGTGAATAACTTACCTCTTTTTGGGTAATATATTCATTTTCTATGTGTAAATATATAGGCTGAGAAAATTTAACGATAGTTGTTATATTGATTACGAACGTCTTTTTGAGTACATTGAATTAAATTTAAAATAAATCTTTTAAATATGATTCTACGTTTTAGTTGTTAAGCGTGAAATTCCAAAAATATCAATAAGGAAATTATAATGTATAACATAATTTTGTTGTGTTTAATTACGTTGAAATTAAAAAGTAAAAACCGAAGTCCAGACGTTTTTGTAAAATGTTGATGTTGTAGCTGTTGATAACAATTACAATTACTGATAACATGAAGGGTTGTTGGAAAATTGATAAAATATAGTGACTTTGATAAAACAACCAGTGCATGTACGCATGTTTGAAAGAGCCGGACATCCGATGTACATATATAGTGACACTGTACTCGGAGCCAATCGTCATTCGTCTGTATAGTAGCCGTAGGATTTCGTTCATTTTTGTTGTGATACTACAAAAAAAATTAGGATTTTACTATTTCTTTTATTTTTTATTTTTCAGTTAGCGTCATTTCTATTTAATCATACGGCTAGGTACGATCGGTTCGCTGAGCTGTAGACAGTTTTAAACATTCGTAACAATAATGGCAACGACTACAAATACAGTGGGTGAGTACCTGTCATATCATAACGTGCGGCATAACATAACTTGTGATGTAACGACAACAGGAAGACAAAATATGAAATGTGCTTTTTTAATGTTTTTACGATTTTTCGACACTAACCGATCGATTCATAGAGACGCTGTCAAGTGCCTCGAGTAAACCAGACCATATTAGACTGGCGGCTGTATAATAATAATAATGTTTCAATATGTAGTTAAACTTGTGGATGACTTGCTACTATGCATTATGCACTTACCCTATTTTGCATTATTGATCACACGTTTATAAATCAACTATACATTTATTTATATAGATACAATCATTTGTGCTATCATGCAGACGATTACCTATTGGTACACAATTTAATTTTTTGTTTTATGTTAGAAAATTACTAAATTATCCACCTATTATGTATTTTTTCAGTTATTCCACGAAATTTTAGACTGTTGGAAGAATTGGAACAAGGACAGAAAGGTGTTGGCGATGGTACAATTAGTTGGGGTTTAGAAAAAGACGATGATATGACTTTAACCCATTGGACAGGAATGATTATTGGGCCACCTAGGGTAACAGAGACAACATATTTCAAAATTGTGATATTATAATACCTTTATTTATGTATTTAATTACAGACACCTTATGAAAATCGAATGTATAGTTTAAAAGTAGAATGTGGTCCTAGGTATCCAGATGACGCACCTGTTGCTCGTTTTGTTACACGTATCAATATGACTTGCGTACATAATTCTACTGGATTGGTAAGCACTAATTTATTTTAATAACTTCAATTAGGTGTGTAAAATAATTGATAGTAGACTAATGCTAAACAATGAAGTGAAATATTGAAATCAGTTTAATTTATTTATCTTTATTTTTTAATTTTTAAAAAAAGCCATTACAGTGGGGACGAACTATAGTGGAGACAGGTTACAGGTCTACAGGAATTATTATAATTGAAAGTGATAACTGATAAGTGTAAATGCTTCAATGCGAATCTGTGGATATTAAGTTCAATTCAGTACAGTTTGGTTTAACACACTATAAACCAGCACAGTATGAACGTATTAAAGTAAGGTCTAGTGTCAACAGATTCACATCGAAGCATTTATTAGAAAGTCGTTTTATCACTTTCAGTTATAATAATTCCTGTAGAATTGTCCCCGTCTCCGCTATGGCCTGACTACATTGTACTGTCTTTTATTAAATATTCAAAAATAGAGATGAGAGTATTTCCACAAACCAGTTACTTAGTGTAATTGAATAGTGTATCCAAAGTGCCTCAACATGCATTTAATAAACTAATACACATATGTAATATACTAAAGCATGTACATTACAATTCATTTATATTTAATCAAGTGATGTAATACAAATAATGATTGGTCAATAAATAGTTTCGAAGTAAATTGAGTTATTAGCAAAGTTTAATGTAAGAAAACAAGTGCGTGTGAGTAGTAAGCACTTATAAAAATATTGCTTATGCTAAAAAAAAAAAATTTTCATTTTAGAATTTTGCATTAAATATGTAAGTCGCTATTTAGTTTTTAAATATTACTCTTCAAAACTATCCTTTAAAATATTATTTATTTTAATTTGAATAAAAAGTACTTTTGTTTATTTAATAGAATGAATATTTAATTTAAACTTTTTTAGCTAAAGAATTATTTCATCATAAAAGTTGTACAAAATAACAACATAAAATAATAATCTACATAAAATTAATGTAACAATTTTATAGTACCACTGTTAATAGAAGTTATTTTTGAGAAAATTAAATGTAGAAAATGTAACTAAATACAGCAAAGTAGATTCTAAAATCATATTATAACTACGAGTATATAATGTATAATATATAAATATTGTTTTTTAATTTTATTTACTAAACCCAAAACTATGTTAATGTTAATTGCATTAAAATTAAAGTTGTTCTTATACTAGGCTATAATTAATTTTTATACTTAAAGATGGTTTGATTATACAATGTTACTTGATAATATTGCTCTAGGTGGATAACAGGCAAGTTCCCGTATTAGCGAGATGGCAACGAGATTACACTATCAAGACTGTCTTACAAGAACTTCGGCGGTTAATGACTCTTAAGGACAACATGAAAATGTCTCAACCGCCAGAGGGTAGCACATTCTAGCCATCGCCGCTGTCTGAACCATGGAATAGCTTGTACCTTGCGCCTCGCTACCAGCCAACAGTCGCTCCACCGGTCCCACCAACACAGCCGATGCAAGCAATACAACAACAACAACAACAACAGCAACAACCACCACAACCACAACAACAACAACATCAGCGCCGATTTTTTGGCCGCTGTCTGATGATTATATTTCCATGCTGCTATTATTCAGCACCTCAGGCAGACAATTAGGTTATTACCCAAAAAAAGTCTGGGAACTAATGTCCCTTTCGTATATGCAGTTCTTTTGTCAAGAGAATAAATTTCACAGGTCATTATTGTTTTGTATTTTTTTTTTGTTTGTTAAATTATTCGTTTAATTTCATGGTTCAGAAAGCGCAATTCACACTTAGGCCTATTTTATATACTATTTATAATATTATAATATACTCTTAAATAGATACTTAGATATTGTTGTATTTTAAGTGCTAAAAAAACACCTTAATTTTTAAAATTATAATAATAACTGTCATCATAATATTTATGAGATAAATTGCAAGACTTAAGTCTACTGGTTGTTAAATCTCAACTACTAGTTTTATGTTTGCAGTAAAACAGTAAGTCATCAATGGTTGATATTTTATGTATGATGATATAAATATATTTATTAATATCTAATTCTGATCTTAATTCATATTTTAATTTTCAAAACCATTTTGGTTTCAGTGTTTTATGTTATTTATTGTGTTAGTTTTAAGAGCATGTAAAAAATTTGACACTGATTTTACATTTTTAAGGGTCTATAAAACTTATTACATACTTTTTTTTTATTAGTTTTTTTTTTCAAGAGCATAAATAAAATATATTATTTTCATAATTATGTGTGGGAAAGTCCATAAACTAAGGCATAATAAATGTGTGGAAAATTCACTTATAATGAAAAAGTATTCTAGTTTTTGAATCCAATTATATTTTCTAAAACAAAAATCTTTTTTTTTACTTAACACGTTTATTAAAAAAAAAAAATCTTGGCCTATAATTATAGCTAATGTCATAGTATAAATTCATAGACTGCTTGTATTAACTACCTAGTTTGATTACTTAGAATACGAGATATTACCAACCCTTGTTAAACTTGTCAAATTTAATTTAAGCTAACAATAATTAATAGTATAAATTTATTTTTAACTTAATTAGTTATTTGGAAGTGAAATATTCTTCCTTATTTATTTTCATTAAAGTATTTAAAAAAAAATAATAAAATAATGAGTATAACATTTTCAAAACATATTTACGTTGTTTCCTTTTTCTGAAGTCTATAGTTTAAATGTTATTATAACTTACCTATAAGTAATCTTAATTGCATTTTAACACTTAGAGTGTAGTCAATGTTAGTATAAATAAAATTAAAAACCAAAATATGTAGTAATTTATGTTTGATACTTAATAAACAACAAAAGTTTTAAACATAACTGGTAAATTAAAATATTAATATGTAATTAATTGAAATAACTTACATCAATTTGTATACAATATTATACAACACTTTGTAATATCATAAAAGATTGGATTGACTATAATAGTATGATAGTATAGTAAACTATTATACTAATAAAATAATAAATAATCTCTACTGTTTAAGTTATATAATATTAATATTTCTATGGATTTAATAATTTTATTTCAAATTTTTTAATATCGTATAATTTTCTTAAATGGTTTTTAGAAGCTTAATCATATTTTTGTTTACTACTGCAGTCTGCACCTAATTTTAGCGAGAAAGTGTGTTGAAGGGATATTAAAAAATGTTTGGTTTCATACCAAAATTATATATAATGAATGTTATTCAGGAAGGAACTTTATAATGAATGGTTTTGCACTTCTTGTTAACGATCTATTTAAATTAATTGCTTGGAATTATTTTTAAGTGTCATAAGGCATTAAAAAAGTATTAGCTTCGATGCAATAGCTAAGAGAGTATTGGTTTTAAAATGTGTGGTTTTTGTGTCTGTACTTTTTTTTCTGAGGACCGAATTACTTATGTAGCACCTCTATAGATCTAAAATCGTATGTACATGGTACTTAGGTGGGTCAAAATAGGAAAAGTCAACTCCTTTAACCTCAGAACCGGAAAATACTGAAATAAAAATTTGACCAGTTTTTCAACCGTTAAATTTGCTGTATCTTCGCGTAAAACAGTCGGATCAAGTCAACATTTTTATAGAACATTGATTAGGTATGCCTCTATCCACAAATTATTTCAACCCCAAATTAAGGGGGAGGGAAGGGTTTTATTTTATTTTTTAGGCACAGTTTTTGGACTTAAGAGTTGAAAATTAGTTAGGTAATAGATAGGTCTAACATATTCCTACATATAACATGTGTAAACAAAACAATAGTTTGTTGTCAAAATATTTTTTTATAATGAAAAAACTAAAGAGTGACTTAAATACTACAAAAGTGGACTATTGTAGGTTTAAAAATTTGAAATTAAGTATAAAAAAAAAAATTATAATTTAAAAAATAGATTGGAAGTTATTAATTACCTTTAAAAGTATTCTAGAATTTTTGGTTCATAATATTATGACCTAATAATAATAATTCTAACAACATAACATCGTTTCTACTCGGATTCTGGCGTTAATGTTTTAACATTGTGTGTATTTAATTTTATATTAAAATTAAAAGAAAAGTGAATTTTCTTAAGTAGAATTTATTTGTCATGTTAAGTAAATAGACATTTATCAAATTATAATCAATACAACATAGCAACTTTATTAATACCTCAGTTGAAATTTGTATAAGGTTTGTTTAAAAGAATCAAAAAGGTAATGCCGTTACGGTCCAGTGGCGTAGTTATGATTTTGTTCTGGGGGGATAGATGTATTTTTGAGTAAACTTAAAGTGGGGGGCAACGACCCCCACACCCCTTATTCAAGTTTACATTTTTTTTAATATACTTCTGTACACAGTTAAATATTTTACAATATAAAATACATTGAAAATTTGAAACAAATTAACTTCATTAGAGGGGTCATAATTTATTTATAAAATTAGATTTATTTTTCTAAGTTTTTTGGCTAGCTCATCTATTATTTCTTCAGTATCTAGCTCTATATTTTTATGAACTGCCAGCATAGCTAATCCTGTTTTAAAAGAAATAATAGTTAATTATAATTAAAATGTATTGACAATTATTTAATCACAATGCATAAAATGTTAGCATTTTTTGTTCTTACTTCACACACGGTGTTAAGTATGAGTTACAAGAGCAAAAAAAACTACACATTTTGTTACTTTGTTAGATATGTCCACATTTTGTCCAAATTTGCATAATAGAATCGTGATTAAGGGGTTTCTTAGCTTACGCATACATCTCGCCATATGTTTCTATTTATACTTACTAAATAATATCTCTAATAAATAGTTTAAATAAAGAATAAAATAATAATTGAAAAATAAAATAAACAATAACTTTATTAGTTTATAAATAGTTCCGCATTTTATTATATTATATTTTTGCCAATTTTGGAGGCCTCTTGCCCCACTGTGCATAGATAAGAAATTTGTCATAGGCCTAGTTAACACCGCAAACGTAGGTCACGTTACCTGACCATTATTCTGTGAGGTAAAAGTTAAAACGGTGTAAATGTATTAGTTCATTATTATAATTGGTCAGGCCAGGTCATATTTTTTTGCTTTCCTCACCTATAAATGGCCGTTGACAATAATAGCGTTTCTGATGTAAACAGTTTTAGCTAATAGGCGTCATTACGAATTGAATTTTATGATAAGATTTAAAACATAAAAGTGACATATTATGTTTTTACATTCAATTATTCAAATACGTTCATAATATTATAGTATTGTTAATATTATTTCAAGTTATAACAATTATTAATTTATTATAATGGACTTGAGACAAATTTAGGACACATGGTGTAAACATAAAACGTTTTTAAGTAAGGCACCTATTGTAAGGTGTATACCTATTATAGTTACAACGGTGTAAACTAGGCCAAAGATAAGGTAATTTATGCAATTTGGGAAAAGTGGTAGCAATCCGGAAACATTTTTGAGAAAAACAAATTATGTCATTTGCTCATGGGCAGTTAACTTTAAATTTTATTTCTTAAGTATATAAAATAAGTAGTTAGCAACATTTCAAAATCTTAAAGCGTTGTTTTCTTAGAAACCCTAGTTCCGAAAATAAATTAAACAATAACCAAATGTAACTGCCAATTTTCAAGATAGGAGAACGATTCTTTTTTTCATATTATTAACCCAACATTCACAATTTATATTTTAATTCTGAAATTTTATTGCTTTTTTCTACTTTCATATATGCGATTCAGTTAGGTTAGGGACTCGATGAGGTGACGTCTCAGTTCGCGCGGCGCGTGATGGCGAAAAAGGAGGAGGCGGTAAGAGTCTGCAGAGAACAGGGGTAGCCCGGCGGGGCTGAAAAACCAAGGTGATGCTCGGCGGCCGATGCGGAACCGAGCAGATAAGCAAATGATGTACATAATGCATATAGTATTTAGCAGTTAAATGTGGACCGAAGGCTGCAACCTTTTCTGAATTTTCAGGAAGTATAAATTATTAATTACAATTCAGTAGCACTTTTTAAATTGTGGTAAACCAATGGGTAACTCTCTCCGAAATAAACAACCTAGCTACACCACCAAGAGTCGAGACTATTAAAATTTAATAGGTATAATTGTATAAATATAATCATGATTACAAATGGAAGGATTGTCGTTTGAGTTTTCTAACTAAAGTTTAGACTAAACTAGAGTTTCCTAACTCGCAGCCGGTTTTACCAACTATTGTTAAATACACTCTTAAGTCTTAACACAATGTTAGTTAACAATTCATATTTCATTTAAATTAAACATCCGGTTAAATTAAATGAGCTACACATAAGACCATAACATTATTATTGTTAAATTCTATTTGTTAAGTTAACAAAACGTTAGTTGGGTTACCAAAGCGGACCTCGATTGCAACGTTCTCATTGGTTATCAAGATATGTGATAACGGATAAGTGATTGTATTTTGTAACTTTCTATATACCTACTCAGTTTGAATTAGAAAATAGAAAACAAATTAATCTCACCGTTTGTAATATCGCAGTTAACTTCTATTTCATAATTGTTTGCTCTGCTAAAATAATAAAGTGATAATTTTTCTATTTGATTGTCGTTAGTACGACAATATAATTAATGTATATTTTTAGATCATTGAATGTATGATAATTTACTGATATAAACATTAATAGCTAATACTTATTTATTTCAAACATCATTTATTACTAATTGTATTAAGTACAATAAAACGAATAATCCGAAATCACAATGTAGTACCGGTTAGTGTTCTTAAAATACACTTACGTGTTATTTATTTTATAAGAAACAACTAACTCAACAAAAGTCTTGCACTAAAATATAAAAAATGTACCCTATCTTACGGTATTTAAAAAATGTGTAAAATTGTTGTACATTTTATATAAACTTTATAAAATCATGAATTTGTTTTTTAATTTTTAAGCTAATTAAAAATTTGAAAAACAATATTTGTTTAAGGGGATTTTATGTTTTTAAGAAACTTTGTATAGACAATATAAAAAAAAGAGATTTTAATAAATTTCGACCATGTCAATTAATTTACCTGTTAATTTGTATAAGCTTCAAGGTATTATAATTAATACAAATAATCTTTTCTATGAGTAAAAGCCATGTTGGTTTTATTTTAGACCAAAAAGCCAGACAAAATTTCAACTACATAATATGATGCGGTCTAATTAAATTTTTTTTGAAGAAATTCGAGTTCTCAACTATGTGTTATGCAGGAAGCCGATTTTCATTTAAACATTTCAATTTCTTGTAAATAAATAAATAAATTAAATTTTCAATTTTAAAACCCAATTTTTTTTTACATAAAACAGAAATCGTGTACCTTACCAGAATTAAAATCGGACTGTCCTAAGTCTGTCTGGCTCTTTGGTCTAAAACATCTAAAAAGCAGATCGTTATGTTAGATCATTAAATTGTCTACAAACAATGTTTGTACACATTTTTCCAAAAATGCATTATTATATGAGAAAAAATATAACATAACTTTTTTCATTTATTCGGATAAACTGGTTTTCTAAGGTTATTTAAATATATTTG